TAGTGTGGGTGGGAAGGGTTGCCTGGTGGGGGAGGGAGGGGTGCTATCTTTGAGGTCAGCCGAAGCCGAGAGATGAGTCAAAGTTCATCTCGGCTTAGCAGGAGTTCTCACATCAGTCAAGAAGATGGCCGCATCTGCTCGAGCCTCCAAAGTCGATTCCGACCATTACCTTTCCGCCCGACGACACGGCGGCTCGTGAGACTGATGCGATGGCGATCCAGCCAAAGCCAATCAATCCCCCGAGCTTGCAGACAAAGACTCGGACCGATTGATAAAGTGACGTGGAGCTTCGCCCCAAAGATACTGCCACAACGGAATGGGAGTGAGAGGCTGGGGGGGGGGGCTGAGATAAGGTCTCCTTGCTCGTCGGAATCAAACGCAGATCATTTTCGGGTTCTTGGTGCGAATGGGACTGTTCGGGATCGACACCGGGCCTCGAAATATTAGTCCGACCCGTTTGGCGACAATGTCAACACATGAGGCAATGCATACGTAAGTCGGCGTACTGTCCCGTCACAATGGGAGGAGACATCGTGAATTGTTGGAATCTTTTGGATAAGCTCCCCCCCCCCCTCCCCTTCTTCTTCCATCCTGGTGAGATAACGAAGGGAAAAATGCACTTCTGTTTTTTTTCCTCTCAACCGACACGCTTCCTTCAAACGGTCCCCCAATCATTCGCACGACGCCGTGGATCAAATCAGCTCGGAATTCTTCGGGGTGGGACTTTTACAGCCGTAGAAAAACAGTTTGGGCTCCGTTCCGTGCAGTTGACCCAGCTCGGCCTTTTCATTTGACGGGATGCTATTTCCAACACAGAGCCCGCGTCTGTGTGGGGTGGAAGGGTTTTGAAAATGGGGGATTAGACGAGGTCAGGGGGGGAGATAAAGCCTGAACAGAGGTCGTGCTCATCCACTTTGTAGGATCTCGTACGAGTGACTTGCAAGGAGCAGTGAGGGCTGGCCTATTTTCCTGAAAGCTTCCAAGTGTCTTCATCTACTATATTCCCAGATCAGGGCTCTCGTAAACACAATGAGTGCTCGAGAGTTGTTTCTCAGTGCCGCAAATATGGTTTTAAAATAATGTTGTTTTGAGGCAGCGATTTTTAAATGTTTTTTTTTTTTTTTGTGTCGACCAGATTTTTTTTGTTCGCAGCACTTGACCCGTTTGTGTCCCTTTTGTTGGCGACAGGTGTCCCTCAGTAGCAGCATGCTGGACGTGTATGGGGGTGAACAAGGTATGAACGCCCCTAATGGTGGACTGAGTCCCACATCTAACCCCACAAAGCTCACAGTAAAAAGGGAATCCACAGGTATGAACTCATACCAGAGCCTTGACAAACATATCGCCGGTGGTCAATGTGCACCAACGCAACGACCTCCATCATTACAAAATAAAGAAATAAAAATAAAAAAAATGGTACTCTTGGATTGTATCTCAAGTGTACCTAATGTTGTGGCTATTGGCGTCAAGATGAGCTGTCCCATACGATTTCTTTGAGATGTAGCACATTTATTTGGGCGGATATAAATTTGAGTTCCTTTTGGTTCAAAAACAAAAACAAAAACAAAAAAAAAAACAAACCCTTCGCCCCGATGAGACGTGTCTTATTAATATGCTGCATCAAGCAAAGAGGCCTAAACGATTTAGGAAACAGAACCTTCCGTACGCAGTGGCGTGCGGGCACTGCGGGGACAATGTGCTCACGCACACGCACACGCACACGCACACACACACACACACACACACACACACACACACACACACACACCAAATTGTCGTGATTGAATCAACAGAGACAAATTGGCAAATCTAATTTCAATCCCCTAATTGGGTAATTTGGAAGAATGTGAATGCAAATCTAAATGCGGTGGCATTTTCTTGCCCCTCTCCAAGGCCGCTCCGTAAATTTGCCTAATTGCCGAGTTGGGCCTTCTAAAAAAGCGCTCACTTTTTGGCCACAATGAGCTGCAGAAATGCGGCAGGAGATAAACTGGGCTCTCATTCATTCATTCTGTGTGTGTTTGTGTGTGTGTGTGTTTGTGTGTGTGAGAGAGGTCAAGCTGGCGAACGCACGGGTGGAAACGGCAGATTCAGGCCGACCTCGGCTCTGAGCGCCCTCAGTGTCTCCCTTGACTGGAGCTTTTTGTCTGGATCAACCGCGTCGCTAATCCATCTGTGCTATCGTTTTTCTTTGTCTCGACAGAGCACGACACGCGGGTCATGGCCAAGGAACGGCAGAAAAAAGACAACCACAATCTAAGTGAGCGTCCACACACACACTGGTTTCTGACCCCACAAAACTGGCAACTCACACCTCAACTGACCGTAAACTCGCCTTTCGTTTTTTTGTTCTTGTTGACTTTCAGTCGAAAGAAGACGAAGATACAACATCAACTACAGGATCAAAGAGCTGGGGACGCTCATACCAAAGTCAAACGACCCGTGAGTTTATCGAAAGCGAGCTGATGGTCAACAGCCGATCATTCGAAGCCGAGGTGGCTTGACTTGTCCCGAAATGAGAAAAAAAAAAACAACAACAAAAAACTTCCCAAAGGCTCAAAAAGCAATTGAAACCGAGCTTGAAGTTGCGACTGTCGTTTGGGTCATGAATGGGGCGCGGGGGGGAGTGGGTGGGGTCAGAAGCACGGGGGTCGAATTTGAATCCGGTGGCCATCTCGAGCAATTGAACTCTGGCGTGCGCTGAAACGGGAGGTCGACGCCGCCGTTGGCAGCGGATCAAAAGAGATGATTAACTTTGATCCAATTGGGGTCTCGCACCTGCAGAACAAGGACAATTCCTCTACCTTGCCTTGAAAAAGGCGGGCGCTAATCTCGCACCTTTGAGTTGCCAATTCAGCCCCCCCCCACCCCCCCTCACCTTTTTTTCCCCCCAGGATTAATTTTAGACACAGAGGAAGCGCATACGTAGCTACTTAATTATTCTATTAAAATCCCCTTTCAGACTTCCATGTTAGGTCCAAGGAAGAATAATTGCCACGTGTAAATCATCATTTCTCATAAAAGACTCAGGGTAGGGGTGGGGGCGTGTTAAAAACAGCCCACTTTAACTCATTCAGCTCCTTCTTTCTCGTACCGCGTCCCCCCCAAAAAATTTGAATACATAAAGTAGCTGGGATTGAATGCCTGGATTCTTGGGGCGGGGGGGGGGGTAACTGTCCTTGGCATTGAATGAGTTCGAAAAAAAAAAAAAGGTTATCTTGAAGGATTTTCTTGGCACGTGCAGGGACATGCGCTGGAACAAAGGCACCATCCTGAAGGCCTCGGTGGAGTACATCAGGTGGCTGCAGAAGGAGCAGCAGCACGCTCGCGAGCTGGAGAGTCGCCAGAAGAAACTGGAACAGGCCAACAGGAGGCTGATCCTCCGGATTCAGGTAAGGAGGACTTCCGAAGTGAGCCGCGAGCGAACGGTCCACGAAGCACCATGACCCCGCCCGAGCTCCCCATCCTCATCCGTGCCGAGAAGAGCGACAAGTCGGCCATTCAAGAATTTGCGTTTCATGAATCCGAACGACTTGGGGAGGAGAGCAGTAAAAAAAGGGGATTGATTGACCCACAGCAAAATGTTTAGGACCGCCTAAAATGCGCCTAATTTAGCCGTCGATTGCGCCCCATGTTTGAAGATGGCCGTCATCAGCCTGTTGCGGATTTTCACCGAGTTTGGCGGTGAGCGTTTTGATTTCTCCGCAGGAACTTGAGATCCAAGCCCGGGCGCACGGCCTCCCCAACCTGGCCACCTCGTTGGTGACGACGGAGCTGAATTCGCACCTCCTCAAACAGCAGCAGTCGTCCCCTCACGCCCCGCAGCCCCCGCAGCCCCCGCTCTACCAGGAAGACCCCAACGCCGATTACCTGCAGCGGATATCCGCGGGGGGGGCCGGCGCGCCGACCGCCCCCGCGCCATCCGGGCCGCAGGACCACGCGGCGGGCGCCGACGGCTGCGCCGCCTTCTCCGACCCGCTGTCGCACTTCACCGAAATTTTCAGCGCCACGCTCAAGGGGGAGCACCGGCTGGACCAGATCCTGATGGACGAGGCGCTGTCCCCGTTCGGCGCCGACCCGCTGCTGTCGTCCGGCTCGCCCCGGGCCACGTCTAAGGGCAGCAGCCGCCGCAGCAGCTTCAGCTCAGGGGAGGGCGACGACCTCTAATCCCCCCCCCCAAAAAAAAGAGCGACTTCACCCTGCGCAGGCCCCCTTTCCTGTATGTATTGTACAGCCCGTGGACCTCCCGACCTTTGCGGCATCTCTGCCTCGCGCAAAGAGCAGAAACAGACTCGGACGAAAGAAAAAGGGAGAAACTGAATTTGTTTTTTTGGGTCACGCTGTAGGAGCCGTACACTGAATTCGACTGCAAAGAACTACTGAGATCCCGTCCACACTGTTTTTTTTTTTTTTCTTTTTTAAAAAATTCGGGGCGATTCCGACGTGCCTTATTCAGTCCACGCCAGGGATGGGCGACTCCAATGCTGGAGGGGTGGAGGTGGAGGGGGCACAATTTTTTCATCAGGGCTAAAAAGGGGCCGCACTGGACCGCGCACTCCCCTACCCCAAAATTGGACGGACAACGGTCGATGCATCTCTGCCATTCGCGGCCTGACAGTTCCCCATCCCTGGTCTAAGCTATGCCGTCACTGTCATTCCTAACACTGTGCCTTTTCTCTGCGTTTTTTTTTCTACATATATATTTATACATGCTTAATCCGTGTACTCATAAAATATATTTACAATACACTGTATAATATCTAACAGGCTTTTTTTTTATTCACAGTAGGGGTGGGGAAGACTATAATAAACCCCTTTTTTGATACAATTGGCTTTTTGTCATTATCCGAAGATGGGCATGAGAGTCACAAAACAAGCTTCCATTGTGCTTAATTTTGAGTTAAAAAAAAAAAATATCAGTGCACAAATCAGTGTGCAAAATTAGATGGGAGGTTTTGCGGTAAAAGCGAAGGTGGCTGATTGGGAACGCGAGGAGGAGGAGGAAGTGGATATTAAAGACGAGTCGTGCTACAGCTGATGAGCCCTTGAGCGCGCATAATGACGAGAAAGAGCGGCCACCGCTGCCAAGTTGTCTGTGAGATGAGCTGCGAATAAAGTTGGCAGAAGTATGTTCAATTAAAAAGTACGGGAGAGAGAGAAAAAAAAAAGTTGAAAAATATCACAAATTCTTTGATCGCACGTGAATTGACAAAAAGCGGAACAAATAGCGACACCAACAAACACACCATTGCTGCTGTCGACCACAACTCACACTCGAGCAGCCGATGTCATTCATGAGGCCCCCTTCAAGGCACGCATATGACACACGAATTCGACAGGACCGAGAGGGATCACACTTGTTGACATTTTCTTTGGGGATGTATCTGAAGACGCACGCCACCAAGCATCCGACAACACGTCAATGGTGAAGGCTTTTAAAAACACATTTGGGAGACTTCCTACTCTCTCCTTTATGCTCAATCGATTACATCCTCAGGTTTGGGAAAGATCTGCTCAAACTGTTGAACACCATCTGCTGATTCGCTTGAAGGCAATGCAAGAAGAAAGCCCGCCAACAAAATACTTTGGAATTGTGCACAACAGAAGAGCTGCTTACATGAAGTCCAACAGCAGGTGGCAGCAACGCACCGTGTAACGCACTCGGGTCAATTAACAACAGCAGGGTGCACATTTGGTTTTTTTCTTCTTCTTCCAACATATCAATAGCAAAATGATAAATAGACATCTGACTGTATGTACACACACACACACACACACACACACAGGTCATTTTTGGTACAGTTCCCTACTAAATTCTGTCCGACATCTTTTGACTCCCACACTCCGGTGACAAATCTAAAACGGGGATGGGATGCCATGAACCCCCCCCGCAGCCGAGGGGGGGGGGGGGGGGGGGGTTGGTCCTGTCACCAAAACGACGTTGTCAGAGCCCCTGCCAGCCACCGAGCGTCCGCCCGCCGATGCCGCCACGACGCTCTCACCTGTCGAGCCTGCCATGGCGTACACTTCATCACCTCCCGCCTATGGGCGCGTTCAACGCACATCGACACACGAAAGCAACCTTCAAGGCCCTCATCCGGATTCGGAATGACACATCTTATGCGCAAATTAGGTGCAGCACCAGTGGAAATAATGACACTGAGAGCCGCGGAGCATCACGTGTCATATCTATTTCCGTCCGTGAGTCACAGATGTGTGACAAACAACAATATCCTGCCTCTCAACCGGCCCATTAACGGTGGAAATGTGCAAAGCTATGACACAAAAGGTTAAGGTCATTAAGTCATCCCATGATGCTAGGGAGGGGGAGGGGAGGGGGGCACGTGCAAAAATAAAATGTAGCGAGCATGCATGGCCCCTTGTGCGTTCATGGAGCTACAGTTCAAAAAAATAAAATAAAACACAAATGGGTGGCTGGGCCTTTCCGAAATGCTATAAAATTAATGCGATTTCCAGAGTTTTTTTTTTTTTTAATGAATGGCGCCAGATGCCAAATACATAACTTCAAACAAATTGACTTGCAATTATTGGTTGTGGCGCACCACTTCCAGATGTGCAACAGATGGGGCCGGGGCGACCCAAGGTGTCTCGGCTCGTGCTTTGTGTTATTGTGCCGTAAAACGGCGCTCTGTGTGTGCGTGTGTGTGTGTGTGTGTGCGTGTGTGTGTGTGTTTTAAATCACAGTGTGGGCTGGAGGTGAAGGGAAGGACAGCGGACACAGAAAGGAAGAAAAAAAGAATCAAAAGAAAGAAAGCTCCATCATTTGGTAACTGGACAATGTTAGCAGTACTGCAGGCTGAAATGATGTCAAGACAGATGAGAAATGTAAATCGCTGCTGTATTTTACAGTGTTGAGATTAAAGTGTGTGTGTGTTTTTTTTTTTATTTTTTTTTTTTATAAAATTTCCCTCAAAATGGGGTATCACAAAAAAAAAAAAAAAAAACAGAGTTGGTAGTGGATAAATAAACGCTGGGATTATCATTTACACCCCGATACAGATCAATGTTGAGACGTATTGGATTCTTGCATATAAAAAAACAAACAAACCGAAAAGTCATTTCATATGTAGAAGGCAGACAAATTGTTGCAAAAACTCGATTTTGTCATTGGACCCAGGCTGCTTTTTTTAGGAGATTTAGGAGGATGTCAAACAAAGTTTTCACGTCGTCCTATGCTGCCTGTTTTGAGGGGAATTAAAGGAGGATTCTAGACAAAAACAAGCACGCTGCTTTGCAGGAAACGGACATCTCACAAAACCTTGATTTTGTTACATATGCATGTTTTCAGAGGAGTACATCATCCATATTTATATATGAGTGGGATTTTGTACAAGGACTGACATTTTTGGGGTTGTTTAAAAAGCTTTCTTGGGTGTTTGTTCCATATGGATCAATGTTTGTTTTGAGAGGATTTTATCGAATATGTATAACAGTACACTGAAAAACGATGCTAGAATTGAGCCCATTTTATTTTGTCATGTGGTTGTGCAAAAGGAAAAAAAAAAAAAAACATCTGGACCCAGATAGAATTTTTAAGATGATGGTTAGTCTCCTTAAATTTTTTTTTGAGCTGATGACGACGAGCCTACTTGGAAAGGAAAAAAAAAAGCATCTGGATTCAGATGACTTGATTTTATGCAACCACTTGACAAAATGACAATTTTTTTTTTTTGGCCATAATTTTAAACTAAACTGGACCACGCTTCAGAGAAAATTAAAGATGTTCTTTCGGTTACTTACTTTCGGTGCAAATGATCAACAGCAATAAAAAGTTCTCTCTCACTCTCTTACACACACACACACACACACACACCAACACACACACACACACCCACCCACACCCACACACACACACACACACACACACACACTCCAACAGAGTGACCTTGCGTTATCTACTTGACCTTGGCCTTGCAGCAAAGGAGAGGACCCGGATGGAATTCCGGCGTGTCGTCGCCTTGTTTTATTGCCCCATTTTTGGATCCCCCCCGCTACCTTCCTGCCGCATTTTGCCGGTTTTCTGATGGCCGTCTTGTCTGCATTATTCATTCCTCCGCCTCCCCCGCCTCCCTTCCCGGTAACTCTGCCACTGCTGTGTTTCACTCCTGCGACCGGGCCCAGGCGCCGGGCCTTTGGAGCTTGCGTTCATCTATTATAGATGGCTAATTGTTTATTAAATGCAGACCTGACCCTATTATGCCGATTACCGCAGTGCAACACACTCCCGCACTCCTCCATATTGGCCAAGATGTAACAATCCCCCCCGTCAGGAACGTGAGGCTGCCACCGGGCCAGCCTCTCCTTGGTGATGGAGGCGGACAAAAAAAAAAAAAAAAAAAGCTTTGCCTCTCATTACCCTGACTCGTAATCTACCTCTGCCCTTTGCGGGCCAATCCCCGCTTCAGGCGTTGGGAGGCTAAACCTTCCCAACTCCGGAAGAGGATTTCATCCCTCAGATAGGACGAAGCAATCCCACCTCAACTTTTCCCAACCCGGCTTGACACTAGAGGTCAGTGTCGTGACAGAGTTGTGACTCGGGCTGCTCTTAGGTGTCAGCTGCAGGCTACAACAGGAAAGAGATTCAGGTATAAAAAAAAAAAAAAAACGAATTGAAACGGAATGATTAAGTTCACTTCATTAGCGGCAGGCTTAGGCAAATCAGCTTACCTTGTATCCAAATGATTATTGCAGACAGCGGCGCTGATTGTGCGGGACCAAAGTTGGCCAGCGCGCATGCAAAAAAAAAAAAAAAAGAGTGCGGCTAATGCGGGATGTGTGAAAAATTTAGCGCTGCCTTACATGTCGTTCAATGGAACACATTATATCTATCTATATATAGAGCGGAAAAAAGAAAGAAATATATATATATACACACGCACACACACACACACACACACACACACACAAACACACAAACCCCCCATTTATCCAGCGACATACGTGTGGGCCTTTATTTATTCCTCAAGCACCTCTGATTAGGCTCAGGCACGTTCTCATCATGCCTCGCGACGACACAAATTCGGCAGGTTTACGAGTAAATACCACCCGGACCTCGCAAGTATCATCCGAGCTACTGATGCTAAGTGGAGATTAGCCTGTTGGAGTTTAATCAAGGCGAGGTCCATGCACGTCAACAACCCCGCAAAGTAA